GGTGGTTTGTTTTTTTTTTTTTTCCTCAGGTTCCTAACTACTCCTAAATCTCCCATCCTCCTACCAGCAAGACAGGGCATTGGTGCTGATCCTCTTTGAAACACTAAATCTCTCTGATATTTTTTCCATAGTGTGCTAACAAAGGGGTTTTGGTGGTTTAAACCAGACATCCAGTGTGCCTCCCCTCGAACCTGGAATCACAGCTGGCAAAAACTCCACAAACTGTCATTCCTCTGAGGGGTTGATATGCACGGGCTCAGGTCACAAACATCACAGAGAGATGCTTTGTGTCCTCAGGAGATCTGAGGAACACCCTGAGGCAGGGAGCTCGCTTTGGGGGACAGTGACTGCTCCTGCTTTATCAAGGGAAAAAGAGGGGGTCTGGTGCTCAGAGTGAGGAAAGGCAGCAGTGAGAGAGCTCCTGAGAGATGAGAGGAAAAAGTACAAGAATAATATTAGAGCCAGATTGCATCTGTCTTTCCCATTTTTCCCATTAAAGGATAAAGCTTTCCATCCGTGGCTGTTGCACAACAGCAGAGCTCCAGCCAGTGCGGCAGCACCAGCGACCAGAAACGCAACAGACCATGGAGCAGATGGCCCAAGCTTTTGCTGCAGGAACCTGGCAGTGCAGAAACCATCTCTTTGCTGGATTTAATCATGCCAGTCACAAGGCAGGAGGGTCTACAAACAACCGTCATAAGCAGTTCCACATCAGCTTTCAGGAACACAGACGCTGAGGAAGAGGAAGCCCATCGTGTCCGGCTGAGCCCTGGGTGCCTCCAAAACTCCAGTTTTGGAGTTCAGTCAACTCCAGTGCACATTCCCAGTCTGAATGGACTCCCCACTTCACATCCCTTTTACTGACACGCAGCAGCACCTCTGAGGACAGCACAGACACCTCTCCATACCTGAAACTTTCTTCCTCCTCTTCCAAATTGTGAGGTTTCCCCAGCTTGTTCTGCCAGAATCTCAGTAAAACTGGAAAGTTGATTCCAACACTACTAGAAGAAGGACTTTTGCAATTATATCAAAGGGCACTAGAAATTCAGGGACTTCTAAACAGCATTGACAAGAGACAGTGTCACAGTGACTGGAGCATTGTGGTGCTAGAAACAGCACAAGATCAGCGCTGGCCTTCTCGAATTTCCAGCCCCTCAGAATTTGCCTGAAGGCAAGCAAAGGGTTCTCTGGGTACTTCATTTGTCCCCTCCCTTGGAGGGACACAGACTATTCCTACATCTACACCTTTGCCAGCAACTTTTCCCATTCAGAAAATGGTTCTTTCAGAAACTCTTGGGAACTTGCTTTACATCTCAGTGCACCATCCCCTTGCCTGCACCACTTGTCTGCTCCCAGCTTCAGCCTCTTCTTTCAGTTTTCAGAGTAATGAAGGCATCCTCTTGGACTGAAGTCAACTCTATTTCCTCTAATGAATTTAAATATCTCAAATAAGTCTCCTGCTTTTGGAAGTTTCAGTTGCAATGAAGAAGATCCCAGTGAGATCCCCTTCAGTCCTGACCGGGCAAACACTTACTCAGTTAGCTTTGGTTTAGCCACAGGTTGGTAGAGTTTATCTAGTTCTGATCTTGTCAGAATTGTGTGTAAGTTCTCTGACAGATTCTTGGCTTGCAGCTTGTTAACAGATCGTTGTTGAGGCAAGATGTTTGAAATTAGAGTGGTTTGGAAAAGGAGAGGCACATGGTGCATTTATTCTCCAGTTCAGTGATTATCTCTGCCTGGCTCCACTCCTAACACAAGTTCACCTTGGGACATTACAGGAGTTGCTGGCTAGTTTGGGAACTAGGATTATGCACCACATTCCAACATAGGAATATGTTGGAATAAGCACCAGACACAGCCATGATGAGGGTAGGAAACAACGTAAATGCTTCTGGACAGTTTGTATTGCCTCTGGACAGCTCTAATAAAAACTTGTCCCTTGCAGGGCTGGGTGGTGCAGGGCCCCAGCCTCACCTGGGGAGACTTGACTTTCTGTAACTCCCTTATTCTAGAGAGCAAAAACTGCCTGATGATTTACTGCAGTTACCCTGAAACAGCGTGTTTGTCTCTCATCCTGCAAGAGCAGGCGCAGGCTTTGTGGAGTGAAATTGTACTCAAGATTTTGTTAAACATTCCAAGTCACCCAGTGTCTCTTTAGAAGGTCCAAGGAGTCAAGATGTCATTTGGCCCTCACACAAAGAGAAAACACTGAACACAAAACTGGGAAACAGGCAGGGTCAGTGCAGACACCCAAACACCTGGGAGTTAATGCATTACACACACAGAGCTCCAGCGCCCACCTGCTGAGAGAACACATTCCTGGTATCCCACGTTTTAGAAAATGTGTCTGGAGTGCTATTTAACTTCCTTGTCAGATGTCCTGTAGGATGAGAAACCTGGATTGCAGCTTTGTTAAGGCTAGAAACAGATTCCAGGACTGCTTTACGAAGAAATAAGGGGAAAAGTTTACATTTTGCAGGCTTCAGAGCAGGTTAAGGTGAGGTCTGAAGTGTGCAGCCCTAGATGTTCCCAGAGGATATCTCAGTGCAGAACTGACCTTCCTTGTGCTAGACAGCAACAACAGGTCATTTGCTGCCTGTCAGGAGCCACACAAGCACTCCTTTATACACGGGACCAGAACCTTAAAAATGAGTTGAATTTCTCACTCTCTTCCCCAGTGTTTATTCTTCTAAATACTTTTGGGCTTACCAAGCTCCTCAGGGCAGCACCACCCCCCTGTGCCTCCTCCAGCCCAGCACAGGGGGTGCCCAGTGACATCCTGCCACCCATCCCTGCTGTCAGGGGTCAGTGACATCTGCACTGCAGGGCTCTGAAGGACACAAACGTGACACCCGTGTCTACAGCAGAGAGCATCACTCAGAAACAAAGTTCACAGGACAACAGCTGTGACAGAGCCCGTGTCAGAACATCAGAGAAGATGTTATAACCACCAGCAGTATCCACATAAATGGGGCTGGAAATAGGTATCCCATGAAGCTGAGAGGGAGAAACAAGGATTAGGCTGACTCTCAGCCAGCCATTAACCAGCAATAGATGGAGCTAGTGGTGCACTCAGGTGGCTTTGAACCAGCGAAGAGAGGTACCTGCACATCTGCAGAAGAGCCAGTCGCACACCTGGGAGGATCTGGAAAGGCTCTATATTACTAGAAGGTAAAACAATAACTGCAGGACATCTGCTTAGTTGTCAAGGACCAAGAGGGAAATAAAGCTGTTGTCCCCTCTAGCTAAAACCTGCTGTTTCCTTTTCCCCAGACTCCCCACCACCAACTGCTCTACAGTTTGTATGCCAATCCAATTTTGACGCCTGTAAGTCACCCCAGAGACTGTTTATTTTAACTTTATCAAGTGAAGAGAAAAACAACTGTGTTAGAATGAAAAAAGAGCATCTGGCAGCAGGATATTCTGCCTCTCAGACAGCTTCCCAGCCTTACTGGTGTACAAGAACATGGGATTTCAGTTACCCACGGGTTGAAAGAAAGGGAGAACAGGGCGCAGAGTGCAGGCTCTCTGTGTGTTTGTCCTAAAGATGGTCTTTTGTGGTCTGGTAGCTTTTCTCTGCAAGATTGGTACAGTCAAGAAAGAGGCTGGGGTTTGGTTTTCTTCCCTGTGGCTGTTTTTGTTCTCTTCCATTGGCAAGTACTTCGAGCGCTGCAGGAAAAAGCAGACATTGCCCAGTAGGTTTGCCCAGCCCACCATTTCTGTTTGTTTACTTTGACCTGAGGAACACCCTGATGGAGAGAACTCATTTTTCAGCAATTGGGAGGGACACTGCAGGGGTGTCATTAGGGTGGAGCAGTGGGACCCCCGTTCTGTGAGCAGGCCATGTGCTGACGGGGTGCTGTTCACAGGGACGCTGCACCACGCCGGAGTCGCTCCTGATGTGGGAGCCACCATTCCTCCTGGAATGAGAGCAGGAGCTCCTCTCAGCAACGGCGCCTGCTCCAACGGCATCGCGCTCCAGGCACGACCTGCTCGAGAGGGAGGGCGCTTCCTCGGTGAAATACTTATATACTTGGAGAAAGTTTCCTTTGGGCAAGAAGCCAATGAGCTACTTACGTGGTTGTGTTGTTCTGCAAGAGAAAGAGCCCCACCTAATCATCATTTAATGTTTGGAACAAAAAAAAAACCACAAACCAACAAACATCTTATTTTAATCAACAGGATTTTTAATTTCAGGCACTTACACATCTAGAAGGATCATTAGATATGTGGTAGATTTCAGAAAATTCTCTCTACTTGTCTGCCTTGCTTTAAAGCACAACCTTTCTGCAGATGTAGCCAGAAGTTCTGTTCTCTATGGATACGTTAGCACTTTCCTTTAACGGGTCAGGACACTGGAGAAGAAGTTAAATTGGTGGTCGGATGTAGTTTACCCCAAAACCACCAAATTTATTTTACTGACCTTGACATACAGCAGGACTCTCCTAATTTTGAAAATGGACATCTATCTATTTTCTTTCCCTAAAGAACCATTACCTCAACAGCACATCAATTTTAGGTCACTTTCCATTTCCTCATGTAGTTACGTATTCTTTGCAAGGTTGAAACAGAAAAGTTGGGGTCCCCTCCCCCCGTTTTGTCCTTCTCCATCCTTTTGTTTTCTTTGAAACTCTCAAAGCTTCTTACAAAACCCTTTAGACAAGTCGTACTACTGGTAGACAGGGCAGACTCAGATTAGAAGTCAGACAAATGTTTTCGCTGCTTGAGTGCTCAGACTGGACTGCCCAGGGCAGCCCTGGGGGTGTTCGAGAGGTGCCTGGAAGCGGCGCTGGGTGATGGGGGGCAGTGCTTTGGAGGTTACAGTGGCAGTGCTGGACTGGATGATCTCCAGGGTCCCCTCCGGCCTTCAGGGTGCCCTTCAGGGTCCCGCGGTGCCCATCCCTCACCCACCCGTCCCCTCAGGCCCCTGGGCCGCCATTTCGCGCCGGGCAGGGCGGGGCGGGGCGGGGCGGGGTCGCTGCCCCGGAAGTGCTCGGCGGGCGGAACATGGCGGCGCTGACCGTGCTGAGCGCGCCCGGCGGCGGCTTCAGCTTCGACAACTGCGCGCGGTGAGCGGGGCGGGCAGCGGGGCGGGGAGCGGCACGGGGAGCTGGAGGAGCGGCACGGGGAGCTGGGGGAGCGGGAGGAGCGGCACGGGGAGCTGGGGGAGCGGGAGGAGCGGGACGGGCCGGGGGTGCGGGGGGAGCGGGCCCGAGCCAGCCTGGGGGAGAGCGCCGGGGACCCGTCCGGCCGCCTCACTCCGCTGTGTTGCAGGAACTCGCTCCTGGAGGCCGAGCTCGCCCAGAAGGGGCTGCGGGTGCCCGCGCCGCGCAAGACGGGCACCACCATCGCCGGCATCGTGTTCAAGGTGAGGGGCGGGGGCCAGGCCGGGCCCGCAGAGGCTCCGCTGCTGCTGCTGCTGCTGCTGCTGAGTCACCCCCGCTGTCCCGGCCCGGCCCCCGAGCTGCCCCCGGGAACGGCCCTGGGGACAGCGGCAATAATTCTCCCTTCCTCTAGGATGGCGTCGTTCTCGGAGCGGATACGAGAGCAACCGAGGGGATGGTTGTTGCTGACAAGAACTGTTCAAAAATACACTTCATTTCCCCCAATATCTAGTAAGTGTTGATACTGTTTATTGTGTAATAAATGGCTAATCATGTCTATTACTGTGTGATGGTGTTGGTAGTGGTACTGGGGTTTTTGGCTCTGTCCTTTGCTAACACCAAATATTAAGATGTGCTTGAAAATGATAATTTATTAGCAAGGCTTGAGGATTTGTGGTTTTCTATTTACATTTAAGCAGGCTATCTTATTTCTTGCTCTGAAAATACTGACTGTATGAGAACTTAATTTCCTCAGTTTTACAAAGAGAAAATTTCTACTTGTTGCATAAAGCATAGAGGCTTTTGCCTCCCCTGCCCTCCCCACCTTTCCCTAACTTGCTCATAACGCTTTTTAGTTGCTGTGGTGCTGGAACAGCTGCAGACACTGAGATGACAACTCAGCTCATCTCCTCCAACCTGGAGCTCCACTCCCTGTCCACGGGACGACTTCCAAGGGTTGTCACGGCCAACCGGATGCTCAAGCAGATGCTGTTCAGGTAACTGAGGGGGCTTCTTGTTTATTAACAGTGCTGTTAAAACCTCCCTCAGCCTCCTTACCCTTCATAACAAGACTTTCTATTTGTTCTTTTCTTGGCGGGCCTTTGAACTGAGATGGAAGAGAAATCAGAGTTTTAGAGAACTGATACTATAGTTGTGCTGCGGTGCAGTGATCACATGGCAAAAATAGAAAGGTATTAATTTAAAAGACTGTTGATCACACCCATGAAAACTGTCACGTACCTTTGGTGAGATGGCTGGCCAGTAATAATGGAATGTGCAGGCCTGTAAAACTGGGAGTTTTATGTGACTTGCAATAGAATCACTGCCTCAGAATGTCTGCTGGACACTGAAATAAACTGTATTTTCCCAGATTTCTTAATTTATTGCTCCCAGCTGGCGGTAGAGCTGTACTGGGTAGCTGTGGGACAGTTCTCCCACGCCGATGTTGTGTTAAACAGAACCACAGCTGTATGATGGGTTTCAGACTCACAGACAAACCTTGCTCCCAGGTACCAAGGCTACATCGGTGCTGCCCTGGTTTTGGGGGGAGTGGACGTCACGGGCCCTCACCTGTACAGCATCCACCCGCATGGATCGACTGACAAGCTGCCCTACGTCACCATGGGTGAGTGACAGGACGGGGAACACCTCCAATTGTTGTTTAAAGTGCTTTTAGTTGAATTCCGTTTTGTTTGCTGGGAGCTGCGCGGGCCTCAGACTTCAGAGGTAAAGTTGTGCCTGCATTTATAGGGCGGGTGCTCTGGAATACTGACTGGAATACTGTTTAACTCTCAGCTGCCAAAAAGCTGGTATTAGGAGCTGTGCTGTGTGTGTTCCCCACGTGAGAATTGTGGGATTCCCAAAAACTTGCTGAATGAAAAAAATTCCTTGGGAAGTGTGGCTTGCTGACTGAAGTCCTGACTTGTGGTTCGTATAAATTTCACTTGGGGAACTCGGGCAGTTTTAAAGGGAAGCTTGTTTTTGGTAGAACCGTGCAAGCGTGATGGAGAGTCCAAACAGACGTATCGGAAAACTGATCTGAAGCTGTAGCGTGTGGGATCAGTAAATCAGGTTCAGCCTATGCCTGGTGCAGCTTTTACGCTGGTTCTGCGATGGGAAAAACGTTAAATTCATAGATTTTCATTGATCTTTTCTGCGCCTGGGTGGCACCTCTGGATCGAACAGCTCCGTGGGGTGTTCTGGAGGGGTGAGGGGTTGTGTCCCGGTGGGTGCTGCGGTGGTGCCGGTGCTGTGTGAGGAGTGCTGGTGTCCCGTACAGTGTCCCTGCAGTGGCAGTGATGCTGAGGAGTGCCGATGCCCCGCACAGTGTCCCTGCAGTGCCGATGCCCCGCACAGTGTCCCTGCAGTGCCGATGCCCCGCACAGTGTCCCTGCGGTGCCGATGCCCCGCACAGTGTCCCTGCGGTGCCGATGCCCCGCACAGTGTCCCTGCAGTGCCGATGGCCCGCACAGTGTCCCTGCAGTGCCGATGCCCCGCACAGTGTCCCTGCAGTGCCGATGCCCCGCACAGTGTCCCTGCAGTGCCGATGGCCCGTAGAGTGTCCCTGCAGTGGCAGCGATGCTGATGCCCCGCACAGTGTCCCTGCAGTGGCGCTGCGGGGCCGCGGGATGGCGCTGCTGCCCCGGGAACGGCCAGCCCGCCGCGTGTGTCGGTGTGCGGGGTTGGTGCTGCCGGTCGATCCCCGCTCCACAGCGCTGCCCGCTCCCAGCATCGCCGCCCTGCTTCCCTGGGGCCAGCCCCGCGCTCTCCGCTGGGCACACGGCGACCTTCCCGCTTTATCAGGTGGCATTCCTGAAAATCCTGCCCGCTCCGCTTTCCCTGCACAAAAATAACACGGTAGCGGGCTAAGTTCAAATCAATAGGAAGTAGAATATCAATGGATTAAGTTCCTTGTAGCTTAAACTTTGATTTGCTGTGGGCAGGACCAGGGCTGGCTGGTGCTTACACGCTCCCTTTGGTCACACTGTCAGACAAAGTCCTGCTCAGCACAGTGTCCTTCTCCTTCCCACTCCTGCTACTGTCTCCAGTGACTAGGATACAATTTAGTCAAAAAGTAGCTTGTGCACAGAGATGAAAGATAGAACTGAGACAGCAGAAAAACTATCCAAATTCAAATGGTAGATAGCAATTGGAATTGTGTTTCAGTCTTATTCAGCCTGATCTGTTCTTTGTTGTTCTAAAGGCAGTTTGTGTAAATGAGGGTAGGTATTTTTGGCCAGTTAGCTTCTGGAAATTCAGTATTAAGTAGGAAAGAAGGTTGAGAAGTTGGATTTTGTTTTGGTGTGCTGGAGTTTGTCTGTGGATGGACACAGTGGTGTCCTGCCTTGCAAGGAAAATTTAAAAGGTGCTTGGTGCTTACTCAGGAGTGAGAACATCAAATTAAACTGTTTATGCTGACAAAGGACAAAATTGGATTTTAGCAAACGATGCAGGATTGTCTGATGGCTTGGCTTGTCTAGGAAAGCTTCTGGCCAAGACTTCTAATGAAATGCATGCATAAAATTAAAGCACTTGGAGTGTGTAGTTGAGCTTTCGGAAGCAGGCAGAGTGTTCGGGGGTCTCTGGTGGCTGGAGCTGCTCCCCTGGTGCCAGTGGTGCTTCATATTCATAAATCAGCTCTTCATGCACTGGCAGTGTCGTGCTGCAGAGCAAGCACTCCCACTGCTGGGAGCCAGCCCCCAGCCAGGATCCGGCTGAAAAATGATCCCAGTCCGTGGGGCTGCGGAGATCACGGAATTTTTACCTGGGATGAGCAGCAAATTGAATAACAATGAGTGCGTGTGAATAAATGCCCTGTCAGGGAGCCCTGGCAGTGATGGATTAGGAAGTGGTAAATGTTGCTCTCTCAAGGCTCTGCTCATCCTCCAGTGTGGCAGGTGGGGCAGCAAACAGGTCCTTGGGTGAGGAAATGGACTGTACTTAGCAATAAGAACTTGTCTGCTGTGAAGGTTCTGCTAAAAAGATCCAGTTCATCTCTTTTAGAGAAGCTCCTGCAGTTCCAAAACACAGAGAAGATTATTGTCAGCTGCATTTCTTTGCTATCAGTAATTATCTTTCACTTTAAATCCATGCTGAAGTGGTGCAACTGCTCAAGTGAAGACCAGATAGTATTTTTAAAGTGAATTTATTACAACTGCGTCCAGGAAAATTAATAACTTTGTTGTGAAAATTCAGGAAATGACCAATGCTATTTAAGAAAAAAATTAATTCTCTTATGGTCTTATAACTTACCTGGTTCATGCCAGTCATCAGACTGAAAAGCATTTTTCTCAGAGTAGAGCTTTACCTCTCAGCTGCTGTAGCTCTTTAGAATTTGCTTGGCAGACAATATTTCAATATATTAAAATACTAAATTAAGATTTCCTGAGTATTTGTTTCTGAAGTGTTGCTTACTGAAAATGTTTGCAAAAAAATTTCTTTGGAATTGAAATGGTCTGTTTTTCTTGATGGTTATTTTTCCAAGGGTGTTAAATGTAACCATTGCTAGCAGTTAATGGGTTCTAAAGATCCACCTGAAAGGGTTTCTCACTGAATGGTATATAATAGAAATAAATGATAACTTTACAAATCATTCTTTGTTTTAATTCTTAGTGCTCGTGCACAGCAGAAAGAGGAACTTTAAACGTGTTTAAAAAAAAATCCAACAGAGGACATTTCCTATTTCTGCATGGGCTGTGTGTTGAGCTTAGTTTGAAACCTTACCTAAGATAAACCCCTGGTTTGGTGTCTCTTGAACCTGAGCTCAGGTAGATGTTCGGTGACACGTTACTGCCCAGCTCCCCTGAAGGGTCTGACAGATTCGAGGTTGAGCTGCTGCACCTTAGGAGGGCTGAGGCCGAACTGGTGGTGACTGAAATCAGTTATTGTGTGTAGGAGGTGGGAAATCCATCCCTAATTAATGGATGGTGTTTTGCTGTGTTTGGATTTTATCTTTCTCCAGACATTATGTTTGGGAATTGTGAAGCTTGTTTCTACATAAAGGCAAAGCATGCTTGTTAAAAATGAATTATTGTGCGAGTGCACGGACAAGAGAGCAGCTGTTTCCACACATACAAACAAGTTCTCCATAGACCCTTAATATCCAAGTTTTCTGTGTTTTTATAGGAACTGCAATAAGAAAACCTTATAGCAGTGTTTACTTAAGTTCCCAGGTTTTATTGCCTGCTCTGCTGTTACAATGCAGCTTTCACGAGGCAGCTGAAGTGCTCGGAAGGCTGTGGGGTTGTTTGGGTGGCGTGTGGAATTTGAGGAGGGGGCAGTGGGTGTGCTGGGACAGTGGAGCTCTCAGCCAGGCTGGGGGGTGACTGGCCCTGGCTGCTGGGCACTGCTGCTGTCCCCGCAGGGCTCCTGTGCCACAGGTGGGGGGTGTGTGCCAGCATTTCCTCTTGCAGTGGGCAAACAGCGCGTGGTTTGTTTCGGTGGAGGCACTGGGAAGTGTTCATCCATCGGTGTGGCTTACATCTGGTGCTGGGAAGAGAGCACAATTTTCACTGTGCTGTTTAAGATAAAATCCGTTCTTGCAGAGAACGCTTAGCTGTGCTGGGAGGCTTTTGCTAAGGCAGATTTTAAATGCAAGCTTTTAAAGCTTATGTTTGGGATTTATAAGCACTGGAGAAAAAAGCAAACGAGTCTCTTCAGCTTTTCCAGCTTCCTCTTCTGTTAGAACCTCCTTAGAATCCTGGTTTTCAGATGTAAATGTCTGCATGTTGGTTTAATTAAGCTAATCAACAACTCTTTGAAAATTTACATTGTAGGACTTGCCTGTATTTAGTTATTTAAAGTTGATTCTGGATTTGGCATTTATTGTGTGTTGGTAGATAAATAATTAAGTGTAATTATGTATAAATGATTTCATGTACTGTAACGTAAGGTTCCCCCTGCCTTTTTATTTTGTCTTTTTCCTTGAAGTATGCTGAGTTCCTCCCCATTGTTGTTTTGGGAACTTATTTTAAAAAGAGCTGGAGGAATTAATCCAGCCTGAGCCATGTATGAGATTGCTATCAATAATTTTTACTTGTCAGTAGAATTTTTAAGGAATTAAACCCACTTTTTCTTAGCTCAGTAGCTAGTGTATTAATTTCAGTCAGATTGTGCATTTATACCTTTTGTGTTTTATTCTTGCATGTTTTTTAGCCTTTGCACTGTAATTTTGTCAAATAAACCCTTCTCCAAGGGTAGGGTTGTTTCCCAGCTATGAGGATTTCTGTTCTGCTCATGGTAGGCCTTCATTTGGGTGTAGCAAGAATGTGGCCCTGGTTTGAGACCATAACTCAGATATTTTTTTTCCTCATTAGAAATGTTCCTATGTCATTCCAGAAGAATTATTATTTTGTGGTTCAGGTCCCGTATTTGTTTTGGCCCACACCTTATTTTGACCTTGTTTGAAGGATCAGTAAAATTCCTTTTATTTGTGATTTGCTCTGTGATATCAGCTGTTTGTATCAGCATTTCATTTCTGCTTAAAAATCTGTTTTATTCCCAGTTTCAGCATTTAAAAAATGGAGTTGTGTATTGCTGTGAGGTGTAAATGAATAGTCATTGCCTGTAATACAAGTACACACTTAGAGTGTCCTACTGCTTTTAGATGTGATGTATTTGGTACTGTAAAGGTAATGATCCTCAACCACAGCAATATTCTGTAACAGGAATATCTGTCACATTCATCGGGATTACCATGTTCATTGATTTGTGTCTGTAAATCTGCTGTTTCAACCCTTTAAATTTGATCTATAATTGGACCTCCTTAAATGGTTCAGCTAAGGTAGTCTGTATTTTCTCAACAGTGTCACTGTCAGCTTCTCCTTTTTCATTATACATTCAGCAGACTTGATAAAATCAGCAGGACACCTCATTTGAAACTGTTTAATCGCTGCCTTTTGCTTTCACTAAACCATTGAGGTGGTCAAGCGATATACACAAATCATTTTAAATAGGAAATACGGCTTTCTCTGTGACCCAGCTAAACAGATAGCGGTATGCAAAACAAGTTAAAAAGTAATAAATGCCAAAAAATCTTCTAATTGGAGTAAAAAATTGCAGGTAACTTTATTCACTCCCCAAAAGTAGTGCTCTCTGAAATATGGGTAGGGCCACAGACAGACAAGATAATCTTCCTGAAGGCTCACTCTTTCTGAACAGAGCAAGTTTACAGTTTCAAATAGCATCATCCTGCTTTTTGTATGAATTCGTGGCAAGCCCATTTATAGCCCTGCAGTGCCAGTGCTTTGGGCAGAGGTGGCTCCTGTTCCACTGCACTTGCACCTCCTCCCTTCTGGAGAAGGAACACTGAGCTCATGGTTTCCTCTCTGTCACCTTGTTCAGCTGTAGCTGTTCAGTGTAAAAATAATGCCCGGAGTGAATGCACAGCAGGCTGTTTGCAGGTCACTGGGGGACATAAAGCTGGTGGCAGCAGCCCCTGCCCCGTTCCCGTGGCTGGGTTACCACCCCCTGTGTGGGGCCGACCGTGCCAGCTCGTCCGAGCCATCTCCCCATTCCCACAGCCCCTCTGCTGAGGCAGGAGCGGTGGGGGGTAGGGATTCCATCAACTCCTTCTCTAACCTCATTGTCATATCTGGTGTTCAAACTGGTCAGAAGCAGAAGGCTCTCGGGACGGGACTGTGCCACGTGTGGGCACACGAGCTGCACCTCTGGGCTTGAATGAGGTGCTGGACTTAGCACAGGCACTTGTGAGTGTGTGGTGAGCTGAGCTGGCTTCACTCTGGTTTGTGCTGCTGACATGCATTATCCTTTCCTCTAAAAATGTAACTCCATGGCTAAAGGGGTGTCCTGATGTTGTCACCGCAGGTTCCGGATCTCTGGCAGCCATGGCAGTGTTCGAGGACAAGTACAAACCCGACATGGAGGTAAGAGTCTTGGGCTTTGAAATCTCACTGTTTCTTCCCTCAATAATCCCTCTGATCCCAAGAATTTAGGAGGTTTGAAGCTTTGAAGAAGTTAAAACTGCTCTAGTTGTGCTGCACTTACAATGTACTAGTGCCAGCTTACTGTAAAGTTGTGAAAAATGATGGATAAAATAAATTTGCAAGAAGCTATATTTCTATATGGAAAAATATGTGCTTTTAATGTGGATGAAAGCTTTACAAACACACAGTTTGCTGGTTATAGTTGACTTCAGGAATTTACCAGCCCTCGCACAGTCAGTATTGCTGGTTTTTTATCAGTCAGTCCTTCTCTCTCAGTCTTGAAAAGAGAATGCTACAAAAAAGTGTTCAAGTAGTACATGAAACGATCCTGGTTGATTTGGTATGTTCAGAACTAGTGTCTGCAATTTAACATCTGCTTGAAAACTGATTATCAGAAAACTGTTATGATTGTGGGGTTTGTGCTTTGCTGCTGACACTGATAGAAACTGAAAAATGTTTGGTTGTTAGAATCATTCAGGAGAGCTAAAATCAGAGTGTCATAAGATCAGAGCAAGCTGTTTGGTTACAGATGGATGCAGTGCGTTATTTTTGTGTTTTCTATAGGATTCCCTTACACTTGGTTACACCATGTTCAGTGCTCCTAAACTAAACCCTGAAAATCCAGTTGTCTCCAGACCCACTGTTGATGAAAATAACCCCAAAGCAATTACAGGGCTTTCTGTAACTGTATTTTGTAAAATGCCTCAGTAATGTCAAGCCCTCTTAAACCACATTTATCTCTTCAGACTTTCTGTGAACGCTTCTTCTCATTCCAATTGATTAATAATTCCACAGTAAAGAAAAAATGAGAATTGAACACAAAATTGAAAATTGAACCCATTAAAAATTACTCATAACACTAACAACAGCACAATCATTTCAGCCTAAAATGCAGATAAAACAAATCCTGCAGCTCTCCAGTATCCCTGAGTCATGTGGAAAAGGAAAGTTTATTTACACCAGCAGAGGTGTTTGGATGTTCTTCGTTTCTGTTGCTCAGCTGCTGTGGGTCAGTTCCTCCCCTTCCAGTGCTGTGTTTGGGTGATGTTCCCATCAGGCCACCCAGTTCCTCTCTGCAGAGCTGATGATTTCAGATGTGATCTCTTGTTCCCTGTCCCGACGAGGCTCAGTGTCCAATACCAGCTGATTTAAAACAAACCTCCCCGCCTGTGTTCTGAGGTTTGCCATTAGTTAATTGCTGAAGTGTGGTTAATAAGCGGTTTTCCAGCTATCCCTGGCCTGGCTCCTGCCCTGTCCGTGCTTGTGCAGGAGCTGCAGGTGTGCCAAGTCATGGACACACGGTTGGATCAGGGCTCCTGTGGTGCCACGCTGTTCTGGGCACTGTCTGCAGACTCTGAGCTTCTGGTCTTCAGTGTATTTATAAATGTTCCCAGAAATTCTGCAATACTTTCAGCAGGCACTCCAGTGTCGTGGGGAGGGAGCGTTACAGCAGATGGCTGAGAGAGCCACTCCAGAGAGGGAGACTCTCTGTTTTCCCCTCTCCCCTCGTGCTGCTGCAAGAATGGCAGTCTCCTTTTCCAGCCTCCTGGCTGACTGTGCACTTGGTGTGTGTGCTGTTCCACTGAAAACATGGACTGAAATCCCGGGAATCAACAGCTACAGCACAACAATCCCCTTGCAGGGATACAAATGGCAAAGAGCTGTGCTGTGCAATCAGATCTGCATTTGATTCTCAGCGAGTTTTCAGGCTTGTGTTTTAAGTCATTTTCTGTGTAAGAGCAACCGAAAAAGGCACCAAAAATTGGTAAATCTCCAAATTTTCCTATTTAGAAAGGTCATCCTCATTAAACTGTCTTCACACACAACCATAAGTGGCAGCAGATAGTCACTGTTATAACAAGCATGTAGAAATGCAGCCTACCAATTTGTTGAAATAGTTATTTAGATTTTGAGACTCGCATGTACCTTAATTCTTCCTTTGGTTTTCCTGGATAATCTGATATCTAGTAACAATTCAAAAAGTGTATTAACCAGCAAACTTTCAGGTCCTAAAGCTCAGTTGTACTCTTAAACACTTCCTCATACTCTCTTATGGCTGCCAGCTTATAATATGTGGGAGATTTTTACAGTAAATTAACAAAATAACAAATATTTCTATTGAATTAAATCCAAATTAAATCTGAAGTATGCTCTGCATATTTTACATAAAACTTCCTATGAAATGGCATTGAAAATAAAATTCCTGGAGATTAATTTAATGAAATAGGTAGAAAATTATTATTTTCCTGTCAAGATCAATGCTCCTTTCTCTTGCACTAATTGTCAGAATATCTTGCTAGGGCTACTGGAGGGTAGTGGTGTGCTTCAAGACCATCACATCACAGAAAAATGATTCAAAGGCAAACTGTCCTGCACCCTCTGGTATCAACTTGCAAATTAGCATCTGGAATGTAATTAAACAAGCTTAATGAAAGTAGCAGCTGAATACTACTGGAAAAGACAATCAGCTTTTTTGCCTCTGATATATATTCTGTACTATTGAAGCTGATCACCAAACGCATCGTGTGAGCACAGTTAAAAAAAAATTAGCATTTATTTGAAGAATAGGAACTGTTTTTCATTCTGTTATGCTTTTGGCATGCGCTGGTGTCCCAGGAGAGCCGTGCCACAGCAGATAGTGCACAATATTTATAAATCCATGACAGGCAATAATAGCAACTTGAAAAATTCTTTTGCTAGAATTTCAAGTTGAGAGCTGCCAAAAGCTGAGAGGATCAAATCTGCAGTGGCAGCTGCTGTGCCCTACAGTTAGAATTGTAGACTTTGAAGATGCTCAACTAAAAAAAAAAAAAAAAATAAGAAAAAGACTGCAGGCTTAGCCAATTTTTGCAGGTTTCTAGAGCCCTGGCTCTCTGCCTTTTGAAGATGAGTTGCTGAAGCTTCTCCCACTGCCTGAGGCGTGCTAACACCAGCAGGATGTGTTTTTTTCCATGGGCTTAGTGTGTCTTCAGCTTTAAGCAGCACATGCTCTGTGAGTGCTGTGTGATGGTGCTGTCCCTGCTGCAGTGCCGGCAGGTGATCCGTCCCCACCACCCTTCAGAGGGACCCGTGCCACTCGTGCAGGCTGATTTATGGAGGCAGGGGCGCCGGGAGAGTGCTGGCCTCTGGAGGAACCATTACAGAGCGCCGAGCGTGGCAACACTTTCAGCCCTCAAGGCCTGTAGATGCTTCAAAAATGTAATGCCAAGCACCTAACTACTGTGGAACAATATTAATCTGTCATGTGGGCAGCTATAGATCTGCTTTAAAAAACATCAGTGGAGGAACAGCACATCTAATGGAGTGTTTTGAGCTCAGATCTTCCGTTGCAGCCAATTTTTCTTCCAATGGAGTCGCCACATGGTTTTTAAACCTCACAGTCATTTTGCAAATGCATTCGTGCCTTCTGGTGTTAAACAATAACAAAGAAATACTGGATATGGAAACCATCTTGATCTGGGAAAAAAAGTGTCTGCAGAATTAAATGCTGGAATTCTGGGTTTATCTATCCTGTGGTGGTTGAATTCCTCAGGAGATGGGGAGAGGGGATATATTTTATTCTGGTATTTGATTTCTGGTGTTTGAAAAGTAGAAGCTTTTTGTCTGTAGAAAAATTACTTGATCCACAGTGGGGCTGTGTTGTAGCCTTCTTGTTTAAGCAAGGAAATAGGCTGCTTGTAACTTCATTTCTTTTCTGTATTTCATCAAAAAGACCAGGTTTAATAAAAAGAGGCTCCAAAAGGAAGAGAACCAGGAGAAGCCACAGAAAGCAGAGCTATTGCAAGGAAAAGGAAGTAAATCTTGGAGTAATGAGTTCAGGAGCACAGAATAGGTGGAAAAAAATTAAAGGAGATAGTCTGGCAGATACTTAATAATTATTTCTAGGATAGATCACTACAAATATGTGAGATTATATTTACAGTCATTTATTGTACCGTTTTTGAAGTGTGGCAGGAAATCAAGTGGTACTGAATGAAAACAAAAATACCCTGGAGGGTAAGAACAGATGAAAAGCAGAGGAGACTGTTGTGAGTGTGTTCCACATGGAAACAGCTCTCCCTCCTGCAGCAGCTGTGCTGTCCCAAAACCTGCAGCTTGCTGTCCCACCAGAGCTGTGTCTGCCTTCCCCTGCTGTCCAGGTTTGCTTTGGTGGCCGTTCTGCAGGGGTGACTCTGCTCCTGGCTGGGACCAGCACGGGTTGGGAGCAATCTGGTGAGCAGTTTGGAGGGCAGGTTTGGGAGAAGGGATGTTTGAGGTACTTCCAAGTAGCCCTTACCCCTGAGTGAAGCCGCTGAGGCACGGAGAGGGCTTTCTCTGGATGCTCCACGTGCTCTGGGGTCTTTGCTGTGCCCAAGGGCAGAGTATCCTGAGTGCAGCTTTCACTGTGTACCTCTCGTTTCACTAAAAATGCGTCAGGCACAGCACAAAATATTATGAAAACATGTCACTTCCTTCCATTTTTAAGCAGCTGACACATAGATCCTTCAAATGTTCCTGTGCTCACATTTCCTACTGTCCCTCAATATGGTGGAATTATTTTTGTTTATTAAGTACTGACAGTAGTACCGGGCTATTTTTGGAATCTGTCAGAACTCTCTCATCTTCAGCAATCGTCGTCTCGGCGGTGTGTGCGGGGGGCTGGGCGCGGTGACAGGCTGCAGATGAGCCCCTGTTCATTAGGGATGGAGATCAGAATGGCTGTGCCCACGGGCTCAGGTGTGGGGCTGATCCTCCAGCTGACACCGCCTTAATGACTCGGCGGGACGGGCACCCCGTGCTGGGCGGGCACGCAGTGGGGATCAGGCCGGGCAGGGCAGCCAGGCTGGAGAGCCTGCCCGAGCTGCCTGAACCCCTGTTGGTGTCAAACACGCAGATTTAAGGAAATGTGGGGGGGAAATGTGACTGGGGGAACAAAAAGCAGGACTTGGTGTGTGTGTGTTTCATTACCCAGTGACAGGAGCGGAGGCTGTTAGTGGCATATCTTCACTCCTTGCTGCCAGAGCTCGGGGCGCTGCACTTTTCAGCTGTCCTGACATAGCTGTGTTAGTGTCTGCTGGAGACACGGATTTCCATGGGTAAATACCAGGTGTTAGTGCACACAGTCAGCCGGAAAATAAAGGCTTATCGGACCTGTTTGTTACTCTTAGGTTAGATAACAATTATCCTCTGGTCCCTCGTTTCTGCCTGACACGTTGGACAGTTTGTACAGTTTTCATCTTCTTTCTCAGAATTGTGCCCCGGATTGATTTCCTTTGTGGAACTGGTATTAAACAGGGCTGATTTGGAATGTGCCAGCTCGGTGTGCTGTGGAGTGGCTGGGATTGCAGGTGAGGTGTTTGGAGTGGATCAAAGCCCAGTTTGTGGGACGCTGCCCAAGTACCAGTCTGAGGTACCAGGGATACCCAGTAGAGCCGCCTTCCAGTCTGCTCTTTGCAGACTGTATTGAGGGAAACAAATATTGCCTCTGTGTAAATTGGGCATTGCTGCATGATAAAGAACAACAATTTCTTCACCTTTATGAAAGTAACACTTAAACTTTGTCCATAATAATGTAGACAGGCTGGCCAGAAGCAGGGCTCTGTGTTAAGAGATCATTTCACTGCACAGGGTAGGGGGAGGACAGGTAATTATTTTTGATGCATTTCTCAGGAGCAGGTGTTCCAGTTTAAATTGTTCCAGTTTGTGTATCTCCCATAAGTGCAGCACACGGGCAAAATGCACTGGAAAATATTTCACATGGCACAGAGCCCGAGCGCCGCTCCCGCAGCGAGGGCCGGCCGGGCCGAGGGCAATTGCTGTGAGGGAGTGGGGATGAGGCAGAGCTGGGAGCCAGCCCGGGCTTTATGGAGCACTTTGGGATATTAGGGAGGATAAATTACCAGAAAGGCCAAGGCTTCTTTTCCAAATAAAAGATTGACCTTCATTCCCTTCCATCCTTTTGTCAGAGGTAAAGCAATAGTCGTGTGAACAGAGATTTGCTTTGTTTGAAGGCAGATGTGTCAGGGCTTGAGGTGAGTGTGTTCAGAGGCAGTAACACCGAGGAATTTCAGCTGTAGCCTCTGGTAGGGTTGGCACAGCCGGGTGGGTGAGGGTTGCTGTGTCACTGAGGCTCTCCCAGGGTCAGAGGAGAACTTGCAGCTTGGCAGCATTTCCAGCTCTGGTGCTGCTGAGCGAGTTCTCCTTTTGAGAATCTGTGCCCTAAAAACCCATGTGCAAGAAGTGATGGATTCAATGAGTTTTCGTTCTTAGGTCAGATTGTGGGAATGGTATTAAAGGAAATCTCGTAGTTGTGAGAGGAGCTTGTAATTTAATTCGGTGCCACTGGAAATATGGATTGCACTGCTCCCCACGCAGGGGATGACAAACAGCAGCTAATGTTATTGAAGAGTAGCTCCGAATCATATAAGTTTCTTGCCTTGGCAGGTAATTTGACATAAATTGTTAATGTAAATCCAGGTTAGTGGGGAAGACGTTATTTTACTAAAAAAGATAAACTGCTGATTAATTCAGTATAGAACTCAATTACAAATTGAAAGTGTCTCTGCGGGATGCCAGTACCCTAAAGACAGCAGATGTTGAATTGATACTCCAGCATATTTCACCCTGGTATGAAATATTAACGTGGTTTATTATACTGGTGGTGTATGATATCAGAGAGGGGGTGGGGATGAGCCTGGGCTCACAGGCAGCTTCCTTGGAACAGGGAAAAAAACTGAGAATAATAATTAGGGACTACAGAGCAGTTTGTTTGGAAAGTTCTTAGTAGAAAATGGTTAGAAAAATAAACATTTACTGACACTTTAGTCACAATGACACTGCCATAAAATGCATAGGTCTAATATAAAAAAAATAAGAAATAAAAGATAATGTCATTCCTTGCTCCTGAGGCAGCCCTGGAAATGCACACTTTTTGGTGGAAGACTTGTAATTGTGAATGGACTGATCTCCACCCCACAGCCCCCACACAGCCCCTCACACCCTGTGCACTGCTGATGGCTCTCCCAAAGTCTAATTATGCTTCTCGAGGTGCTTTTCTCCTTCAAGAGGTATTGCTTTCCTACCCCCAAATTCCCAGCACTCCTTTATGGATTTATTTTTTTATTATCATTGTCCTTCCTGAAGCTTGTGATTTTTTTTCCTTCCCGTCTCTTCCCACGGGAGTCTTGGGGATTCTCACTTTAAGTAGGATCAACTTTTTATATTCTGTAATTTGAGCATATTTCATTGTTGTAAAGGACTGTTGTGAGAAGTATTTGCATTTGTTTATTTTTACAGAAATAGCTGCCTGCTTATATTCATTTTATACTAATATTGATATGCACTACATTTCAAATTCTTCTGAGAATTGCTGTTGGAGAACTGCACTGTGTGTATGGCATCTCCAACAGCATCCTGGTGACCTGCAGGAGGGATTCATTTTGTTTTGGTAAGAATTAGGAAAAGAAATGATTTCTAGGGTTTTGAAATCTGAAAAAGGCATTTCCTGTTTAACTTGCTTGTGGAGTTACAAAATGTTGTGGAAATAATGTTCCCAAAGCCATTCCAGCTGCTCCCTTTGCTGCTGGAGCACAGTGATAAACTTGTTTACAGGCTGTTAGTAAAGACAGCATTAATACCGTGCAGAAGTGCCCTCATCTCCTGTAGGAAAGTCTCTTTTTTCCTCCAGCAGCACTTGAAATCTGGAAATTGTTTAAGTGTGAAGAGAAACTTGGTTGAAGTCATATACAAGAATAATGTGTAAAAGTTGCTCCTCGGTGCAGGTTGGGACCGGCGGCAGAGCGGCTGTGAGAGGTAATCCATCAGCTCTGAGTGCCTGCGAACTGCAACTCTCCAGATAACAGGTTTAAAGTAAAGATTTAATACAGCCTCTATCTGCTGTGATGTTGCAGTGACAGTTTAAAACTCATTCTCTAAATCTCAGCAGACTTTATAGCCAGCAGTGGGCCCATATAAAGCTTAATGGCATTACAACACATAAATCATCTTTTAAAGACGCTACCGGTAGCGCCAATATTAAATGCAGACAATTGTCTGTGTTATAAATAATTTATCAAACACCGTTTCAGATTAGCCTCCCATGCTGAGTTATTTATTTTGGCCTTTCCTGCCCTATTCCTCAGGCACCCTTTGGAGCTGCATTGCTGGTCAGTGTAATGAACTGGGGGCTGTTCCCCCTGGCTCAGCTGTGCTGACCATCACTGCGGGGCCGGGCCTCGCTGCCTTCCCAAGCGCTGCCCATTTGTCAGGAGGAGGTAAATGGAGCTGCACATTGGAGTCCAGGGACACATCGTGGGGGGTGTGCTGGGGACAGACAGATCGCTCCATAAAGTGCTGCTTGTCACCGCTCACCGGCCCTACAGTTCATCACGGGCTGTAATCTCATTTAAGGAGCACTGGGGGCCCCACAGGAGGATATTCCCAGTTAGCTTGGTCTTTGCAACCATAAAGCAGGAAGTGCTCCTTTTATATACTCTGAACTTTTAGGGTTTTTTAAGATTAATTATTACAGTGGCTCATTGAGGCCCCTCTCCTTCAGGCTGTGTCAGCAGTTTGCTGCCAAGCCCCTATTTTGTGACTGGCAATAGCAGTCCTTGCTCAGCTCCGTGCAGGATCTCTGTTTCTTGTGGCTCTCCTGGCCAGCTTTCTAAACTGCATAAAGAGGAGCAGGACACGGCACTGAGGCAGGGTTTCCAAAATGACCATCACTGCACTGTGGCAGTGAAGGAGCTGAGGGGACAGCCTGGGCTCTCTGTGCACTTACAGCTCTAAGTGTTTTTACAGGATTTATAATGAGTATTTTTAGGATTATTTTGATAACAGTAGGTTGATAGAGTACGTTTTTAAAAGCTAATAAAATTTAACATAGAGTCTGTGAGATTTACAATGTTGTCTTAAAAAGATGAAATTAAAAGGAAGAATGGAACAGATCTCCCCCAATTTGCCATAGTACTCCTAAGCTGCTTTTCTTACACTAACACTCATGTAGTTTGAAATTATTCTGGTTTTGCTACCACTTAATTTTTAAAACAGATCTACAGATACTTCTTTGGTTCATTTTATTTATTTGCACTCTAGTACTGAAATACCCTTAGTCTGCAACAAATCAGTGGCAGTCTTCTATCAGCTGAGTGAGGAATTACTTGCTTATCAGGGTTTTATTGCCAAAAACACTGAAGAAAAGGTACAGGAATTATTTTTACAGCATGGCTGCATTGTTCTAGTCAGCTTAGTAGGAAGCATAACTTATTTTTTCTTAATAAAGACTAATAGTGGTGAACCTGGGAGCGAAGAAGGACGTGCAGCTGTTTGTGTGGCTCAGTGCAGGCCGTGTCCTGCTCCAGTCCTGCTGCACCCAGCCTGGACAGGACAGGCTCAGAGGAACAATTTTGGTGCTATAAAGGCTGATTAAATAGCCCTGACCTGGAGAATCCTTGTACCTGAACTGCAGTGACTCCAGTGTGTGTGCAGCTGGAACACACACGTGCCCAGAAACCTGGAAGTTAAAAATGGTAAAATTTATTTTCTCCATTCATTAAGACAAAAATAAATCTGAGTTTTGCTTCCTAGACTGTTTTTACCAACTCTGATCCACCCTGGGGTGGTGGATCATGGGCAGGGTAAAGGGTTGTTCCTGGACAGTCCCTGTTGGAGCCCTGTGGCACTTTGGGGATGGTCCCGGGGCAGTGACAGCTCCTCAACTGTTGCAGGAGGGGGAGGCCAAGCAGCTGGTGAGAGACGCCATCGCAGCCGGCATCTACAACGACCTGGGCTCCGGCAGCAACATCGACATCTGCGTCATCAGCAAGAACAAGCTGGACTTCATCCGCCCCTACGACGTGGCCAACAAGAAGGGGGACAGGTGAGGGACCCTGAACTGTGTGTGATCCCTGCTCTGCCCAGCAAGCCCTCCCTTGGTCAGTGATCTCCAGCCTGTGGGTGAGTGGCAGCTGAACACAACACGAGTGGCTGTGCCTGCAGCTGAACAGAGGCTGTTACAGCCACGAGCAGCTGTGTGGAGGATCAGGGGAAGTTCTCGCTGCCACAGTGTCACCAGGCTCTTGAGCTTTGGGCAGTTTGAGGAAGTAATGGAGTTCTGCCTTTGCTGCCAGACGGCTGATTTCTGCAAAGACCTTTCCAGTTATGAGGCAATTTTTTTTTTTTTTTTTTTTTTT